TGTCAATGTTTACATAGGTTTCGTCTTACTAGTGACGTCATCGTTGATGATAGGTATAGACGATACTGAGAGCGAAAAATTCTTTCGTTTGGTGATTATCCCATCATGAACTATCTGCACACATCCCTTTTTATCAAAAGAAAGAATTTTTCAGGTTATTTGAAGAATTTGAACAAGTGATTAAAATTGATTAAAATTAGAATATCTTTTAAACATAAAAGAATACAAATATATAATTTGTTGCAATGTCATGCATAACAAATTAAAGAAAATGTAGATTTGGTTGAAAGTAGTGGCATTTCTTTTAAATAAAATGACATCTAAGCAAAGAAGAACTCTTACGATAGACAAAAACAAAAGGAAAACTATGTTCAATTAAATGTGATCAACTTAGGTATTCATTTCTGGTGGCAAATCAACTACGAAAAGGTATTTATATGGTAATTCGAACTTTTTCAAATAAATGAAGGTGAGAAGGGAAACATGTTTGTTAATATTAGAATATCAAATTTATTCATCTATCTATACAGAATAGACTAAGGTGAAATCTATTTTTAATTTGTAAAAATACTAATATTGTAAATAAATGTAAATTTCTTAGTATACTAATATTGTATACTAACAAAATTTACATGTTTATATAAATAAATTTACTTGTTTCTTTATTTTTCCTATTTATTTGTAACTTGACAACAATTTTTTACTGCAAATATTTTACTGGATACAACTAATATAATAATAATAGTAATAGAAAACAGTAAAAAGAAAATGCGCATTTAAGAGTAACTCAGGAAAATTTAGTAAACCATTGTCAGTGTTTTGGTGTAGTACTCATCAATTTTCAAAATCAGTATTTACTGATATTTAAATACTGATATCCAACCCTACTTTGGAGCAGGACTGGTTGTGTGTGACATTTTTTATGCTTATTCCTTGATATATATATATATGAAGGAATAAGCATAAAAAAAATGTCAGTTTCATCTACAACAACACGATTGATATTCTAATCATAAAAGTATAACATCACACTTCAGCAAACTAGAAGTTCTGCCATTATTTCTCTCTTTTTGAAGATTTAAATTAATTGAGGATTTCAAGTACTTAAAGCACATTTTGATTTAAAAGTTTGCAGTAAAATGCATATATTTTGATAGTAGTTATATATTTATTAAATACTTCCAAATTACCTTTGTGTTATAGTTGTTTGAGATGTAAACAATTACTATTATAGATGATGATAATGGCAACTAATCTGGTTTTGTTACAGTGCAGTTCTATTTTAACTTCTAAAATTTAATTTTTAATTTCTTTTAAGGCTGTTTTTTAATTTTTACATTCTATAATTTTTTCCCTAGATATCCATCTTTTGCATAGCCAATCAATGTGATTAATTTAAATTATTCTTTATTTTATAAATATAGGCACTGTCCATAAATTACATAATGGATATGGGTGGATATGCCGTAATCATTATAGTGAGTTACAGTGCATGGGGATGTTTACAAAAATATTAAATAATTAGCCCTTGGGTAGTAGAATAGTTCATTTTTTTTTTCAAACAGTTGCGTAATGAACCATACTGTTTATGTCATGGCTTTGTATGTAATTAAAAAAATTTTTGGTATCCTTTCTTCAAAGATGATAAATCTAATGTTTATTCTTTAATAATGCATATAATTATATCTCCTCAATATTGATTATATTAATATTTTAGATATTTTGAAATCATCTTTGACATCTAGTTATGAATAAACCAAATATAAGTTAATAACTGACATAATTGTTCAGTTATTAATGTTTTATTAATAAATTAATTGCGTTTTCTAATAATTAATTATAGGTAATTTTGGTTTGTAGAAAAGTGTGTCAACATTCATTAGTCACTCAAATAGAAAAAAAAACAACATATATTTTCAAAAAAAGAGGATAGAATAACTTATTGTCTGATTGTTTTTACTTAATACAACCTTTATCAAGGACAAAAATACAATAATAAATTTGTCAGGAAGTTATTGATATTTTTGTCTCTGATGAAGGTTACACTTAATAACCTAATGTTTATTTTTGTGATACTTTTGTTACTTCTGTTGGCTTTAATAATTAATAAGAAGAATGATTGATATTCAATTCACATTTATTTTTAATGTCAATAATTAAATAATTATTAATTTAATATAGTTATAAATGGCTAAAAATAAACAACTGTATGCTGGATTTGAACTTGAACTACAAGAAGATGAAAGGATGAAAATGAAGTTCATCCTGCACATTAACACAGAATTAATATGCACAGATTACCACAAAAATGAAAAGTTTTAATATAAAACAATTTTACATTTTTTATGTTAAAAGTATTTTCACAAATTATTTTGGCTTTATTAGTTTATCTAATAAGGCAGAAGAATGTTCCAAAGAACATTGTTTAAATTTAAATTCATATTTAAATAAACATCAGACAAATGCTTTTGGATTATTAATAAAATTTCCACATCAACAAATATTAAAATTATACATTTTCAGTCAAATCAAAGTTAATATAAAATTATGAAATTTAAGAATTACAAAAGAAAATGTAAAACAAAACTGGAACCAGTTGCAAATATCAAAAAATAACCTTTTCCTTTTTCCAGCAAAATGTTTATTAATGGAACGAACATTTTCGGCCCAATTTATAGACCTACTTCTGGTCTATTGTCAACCCTAATTAAAACACATTCTATATTTTATAAGAAAATAGAACATTTTTTTATATTAGGGTTGATTGTAGATCCTAGGTAGGCCTATATAAATTTGGCCAAAAATGTTTGTTCCATTAATAAACATTTTGCTGGAAAGAGAAAAAGGTTATTTTTTGATTTTTAAGAATTAGTTGCAAAAAAACTAATGACTACATTAGAATAATAACTAAAAAGCTGCAAGGGCTCTTGCTCAACTTTTCCGTCACTTGAACATAGAGGGGGCCCACCAGTAGCCAAGTGGTCTTTGTTCCCTGAACACTGGGAGTTGAGTTTTGTGTTTTCGCCTCGCTTGAACGAGCTGGCCATGTGGAGTTTTCCAGGTTTTCTCCACATCTGTAATGCATAAATAGGGGCCAATTTCCCTTAAAAAGACCTCCCAGAAGGCATCCCCCTAGGCAGATCGCCCAAGTGTTGCATTGCCATAACTTAAACAACAAACAAACAAACGAACTTAGAGGTTAAGTGGACTAGGAAGAAAGTCTGATGGTTTTCAATTATACTAAAATATAAAATTTAAGTAATAACAAGAACTTTAGAGGAATAATACTGTTGAATTATGAGAAATTTCTCTATTTAAAAAAATATTTAATTTAAAAAAATCTGAGACATTAGCACAAAGTTAAAATTGTATGTAGCACCATCTGTTATGAGATTTTATTTCAAAATAATTTTTATATTATTAATTATTATAAAAAAGGCAAAAGACTTCATTTTGAGGGTAGAGATGAGTTGTTGAAAAATTGTAAATGCCAATAATGCCATGAGTAAAATTGACATTCAGAATTTTTTTTAAAACTCATCTCTACCCTGCAAATAATCTTGCAGTTTCAAAACTTTTGGTTCATTCAGTTCTGAAATATAATGCAAAATAGATGCCAACACACACAAACACATACAGGTTTTTTTAGGTGTGTTTTTGAATTTTGGTGTCAAAATGTCAAGAAATGCAAAAATAAAAAAAAAATCAGGATCAAAATTTGATCAATTACCACATTTTTATGTTGTATTCTGGGAAAGTAAAAATCATAGAAACAGATGTATAGTTTATCTTATTGCACAAAACAAAGGTGACAAAATATATAATTCATAAGTAGATTTTATTTATGGATGAAGAAAATAGTATCTCTATCAGTGTATTTATAAATTCAGAAGAAAAGTGATAGGTTGGATTTTTCACACTAACTTTCACTTCTCCCACAGTAATTGGTAGTTATTATTTTGGATTAAGTAAGATAGCTAACTTTGTAGAGATTTTCTTTATGTGCATCTCATGTTTGTGTTCCTTTAATCTTGCTTTAATCATGCATTTTTTAACATCAATGTAATGTAATCATCAAAAATTTAAAAAATTTGGAAAATTTTTGACAATTCTAAATCTAAAGCTGTGGTCACACCTTGCAATTTCTAGCTGCACAGGCAACTGCAACAGCTGTTCTTATCTAGTAAACCTCCATCAAAAACTGGCATGACTGCAACTGCAACTAGAAACAAAAAAGTTTGTTCTACTCGTGCTGATTGCAAATGCGCATCCAGTCAGCAGAAACCTTTGTGTCATGTTATACAGTAGCAACATTGAAAATACTTCATCATTATGGCAGAAAGTAGGAGGATTGATACTTTTACAGAATAGAGATTGATTGAGCTTATTCAGGCTCACAAATACCTGTGGGATTTTAATTTTTCGTATTATTGAAGATTTTATCTCTTAGTGTATTCTCGCCATCTCTAACAAAATGATTGCCTGTTTTCTTTTATTCATTGGAGAAAAGGAACTGCTTGCCATTTTAATAAGAAAAGTGGCTAAAATTCTGTAAATACTCTGAAGTAGAATGTAAACTGTCAGTAAATTCACAAAAATAGTCAAAAACAAGCTACTGTAATTTTATTGGTTTATTATGAAGTCACATGTTTCCGAGTTTCAATGCCAGCAAACAATGTGTGACCATGAGAAGACACATGTGACTTGTGCTTGTTGCAGTTGCAATCGCCTGTGCGACTGGAAATTACACGGTGTGGCCATGGCTTAAGGAACTTGACTAGAATGTTTCTTGATGGGTAAAGCAGATATTGTTAGTTGGACAGGCAAAAATTTGGCAAGATGGAGTGATTTTTAAGTTTGGATGGAATGATGTAGATATAATTATATCTTAAATCATTGCTTCCATATATTTTAATTGTTTTAACTGTAAAGGTGTAGAATATTTTTATTTTATATGGTATATAATTGAATGATTTTAAAGATTTCTGCTTTATTTCCAGATTGGACATGAACCAATTCCACCAAAACCTACAAGAACATTCCTTGGCAAACCTGCCCTTGCGTTACCAGGGGCTTTTCAATACAGTATGTATCTAGAATTTTATATATTACTATAACAAATACAGTTGCTATTATGAAACCTATATTAAGCAAACTGAAACATTAATATTATTACTAATTAGAATCTTTTCTTCATTCAAATAATATGGTATACATCACTTATGTAAAGCTTGAGAAAATACAATAAATCAAAGTGAAATTAAAAAGATTTTATTGTTTATTTATTATGTAGGCTCTTCCAATAGATTGCATTAGCAAAATACAAGAAAGAAATCTTCCAGAAAAATCAACCAGTCCAGAAAAATTTTTTTTTTTACTTTATAACATTTTTTGGGCCATTACATCTCATTTTCAGATTAAACAGAAACAAAAAGAAAAGCATTTACAGAATTGCTTTGAAATTTGAAGTCTAACATTCAAATTAATGCTGCATTTTTTGACATAATATGCATCTGGCTATATCATTGGAGTAACGAACATTCAGCATATCGATTAAGATAACATACATTACATTAAACTAAAAATAACACAACAGAATAACATCAAGCAAGGGACACAAATTTGTGTTCAAATTCTCATCATCAAAACACATAACATTAAAGATGTGTAGAAATGATCTAATCAAAACCTATTACTAAACGAAGTATCTAAAAGTCTAAGAGAGAGTACATCTTCACACTTAAAAATATTCTCAAGGCAAACTGGATTTAATACAATTAGATAAGGTAAGACATCTTTTGATTTCCAGCAGTAGTTTTTAATAAAAACATTTTCAACCTATTCATAGTGTGAGATTGGGGCTGTGAGACCTCGCTCTCTGCTCAGGATGGATAATTATATTTTATTCTGTTTTGAAAGATCATAAGATCATTCAATCGTCTGTTCCTGACATTAGTTAGGAAGTTCAAATATGCAACCTAACTCGTGCTGAAATGGATAAATTTGAGTGATAGAGGGATATTAATTTGTAGGAAACGATAATGGAAGTAGGCTTGATTAATTAACTATTCTTTATTTTTGTGTAAATAAATATAAAGTACTAGCTTACCCGTCGCGCATTGCTACGATCTCAGAAGAAAGGAAATTTAAGCAAACTCGTTATGACAAAATTCAATTTACATTTTATAATTTTTATTAAAACTTATTATTATTACATTATTATTTCAAGTTGATATTAAAATTTGGAAAAGGGGGATCCCTAGATCGGTAAAATACGCGAATTTCTTCCTACAACTTCGGTTGTTGTTCGGGGTACAGTTAAGGTTTTAACGAAGTTCGAGCGAATACATAATTAGCAAAAAAAAAGTTGAAATAAAGTGATTAAACAAAAATTATTACAAATATCGTAAATAACAGTTCACAAATGCATATATAGAGATATTTTTTGAAGGTGGGAAATGGTCTTTACAATTTGAAATCGATCGAACACACTGTGCTCGAATGCTCGTGTAAATGCGCGCCATCTATCATAGGATAAATGTACTATGCCAAAAACCTTCGCGGGAGTGTATTAAAAAACTTTCCGAAGTTTTATGGCAATCGTACTATGCCACAAACCTTCGCTGGAGTATATTAAACAACTTCCCAAAGTTTCACAGTAATCGGATAAATGGTTTGGTAATGCTTGAAGGCAGACAGACACACACACAGACATACATTCATTTTTATATATATAGATTACAATGGATTAATATCAAAATAACATTAGATAAGCTCAAATTTCAATAAACTGATTATACTAATATCTGGAAAATGTAATGTGGGAACCTTTTCTTGGAATTGGAAGACTTCTTATATCATTCTTTCCTGATGGGATTGATGCATCAAAAACAGACAGGAACAACAAGGAACTTATTTACTTGGCTTATGGCATGATATTCATGTCAAAGCTTGGATAAAAGATGACCTCCACCTTTTACATCGAATCAATGGATCAATGAGGGTGTACACAATTCCTGTTTCACACTTCTAAAACTTATGTTTTAGAAAGAACTATCCTCTTTACTTGTGAATCAGAGGAAGTTGAAGATGTTACCTATTGATAAAATTTTTCTTTTTCAAGTGAACAATAATTTTTGTAACAAAATCTGTTTTAAAATTCTTTTTTAAATATCAAGATATTCCCTCACTCAATTCCCGGTTCTCACGATAGATCTTCCTCAAAAACATTTTTATGGTATTAAACTACTGCTGGAAATCAAAAGATGTGTTTCCTTATCTAATTAAATCTTTACACTCCACTTTACTAAGAAACTTTTAGGAAACTCTTCTTCCTTCTGAAGCTCAGGTTGAAGCTGTTTAAAACCCACATCCATGGGTTTGGTAAATTGGTATATTTATCTGTTTCTTATAATTTGATGATTATCAAAGTTTATTTTTTAATATAGTATCAATTCTTTATTCTAAAAATTTAATTTTGAAATTCTAAGAATAATCTTGTAATTTATTAATGCATTTTATATTTTATTTTCGTAATGGTTTTATCTGGTTTATAAATGACATTTATTTTCTCTCTTTACAGTAATCTAAAAGTTTTTTCTAAATAATCTTTATTGTAATAAATTATCCACATCTGTTCTATTCCATTATTTATAAATTTTGTAAGATGATCAGATTACGATAAAAAAAATATTTTAAAAAAATTAATTTGTTGGTCATTTAATGAATTAAACTGTTTATTCGTTGAGATATTCTATGAAATATTATTAAAGCCAACCACTGCCATATGCCATTGGGCTATATAACAGCTATAATAATAATAAATTACCAAGCAATTTGACACTAGAGGGAGATGTTAGGCACCATCTTGTATTAAATTTAATAATTATAATTCTAATAAAATAATTTAGATTGAACTGGAAGAAAATAATTGGCCTGGAGCGAGACTCTAACCTGCAACTGCTGCTTACCATGTGGATGCATTGCTAATTATGCTACCGGGACCTCTGGTCTGATATTGTCTTCCAGTATATATAACATTACCCTATAACCTTTGCAAATTTCATAATCATCAAATCATAAGAAACTGACGATAGTTGTAGCATAACATTATATATACTGGAAGACAAGATCAGACCAGAGGTCTTGGTAGCGTAATTGGCAATGCATCCGCACAGTAAATGGCAGTTGTGGGCTTGAGTCCCACTCCAGACAGATTCTTTTCTTCCAGTTCAATCTAAATTATTTAATTAAAATTATAATTATTAAATTTAATATGGCATAGCACCTAACGCCTCCCTCTAGTGTCAAATTCTTTGGTAGTTTATTATTATTATAGCCGTTACATAGATCGATGGCATATGGCAGTGGTTGGCTTTAGTAATATATTGTATTGTGTTTTCGTAGTGTTGTTTGTTTGTTCTATGAAATATTACAGTGGTGAATAGAGAATATAGTATATTGTGTTTTTATTTAAATTGTGTTTTAAATATTAATCTACTATATTTTAAGATAAACATTTAAGAATTTCTCATGTTTTTAGGGTTTACTTCAATTATAATAATAATAATCTTTAAAATATAGTACTTAAGAAATTTTAAAAAGTATAATCAGATATAATGCAATGTTATAAAGTTTTGGAGAAAAGAACTATCTTAGGAAATATTATTTTATTGTAAAACTTGAATTTTTTTTTTTTTGCATTAATAAAATAAAATCAAGCAATAAGCAGTTTCAGAAGTTTCATATCAGTTTAATATCAGAAGATAAATTGAAATTGTTCATGTTTCTTTTTCATTGTTTATATATTTATGGAAAAAGTAACATATTTAATGCCTTTCAACAGATTTTATTGTGGATTTTATAAAAAAATAAATTCAAAAGAACAGTTGCAAATTTAATCATTTGAAATAAATATTGAAAGAAAAGATGAATTAATAATAATTTTGGAAAATTTCAGAAAGTAGAAATAAAAAGTGACTGTTTTTTATGATGCACTTGCACATAATAGTTTCACATAATTATCTTCATATTATTGATTCATTGTTTTGCATTTGATGTGTAAACTAGGTAATTTAAAATGAATATTTTTTATAAACTTTCAGTGGTTTTGAGCTATAAGTACTCTCTTTACAATCTGTTATTATTGACACAAATTTTTGAGTAAAATAATTATTTAATCAAAATCAATGTCAAATACAGTGGGTGATCGGTTAATGAATAGATTGCATAATGAACACTTTCGCGAAAGATTTTTATGTTCGGACAACGAGCACCCCACAGAACAAACACAAGAAGAAGCGAAATAAATAATGAATACTGATTGGTCTTCCCTTGTCTTTGTGCAACAATTCAAAACTTTTCGGGGTGTAGGAGAGTCGACATTGACACTCAAGCCAGTATACCGATCGGATAGTATTCCTCCGAACTTTGAAACTTTCCCTTGTAATTCCAGCCTTTTATTTTTCTGATAAAACAATTCTTTTATGTATTCGCGAGACTGTTGGGTGGGCACTCGTTAAATTTTGCATCTGTTTTTCTTTTCGAAAGGTGAGAGTATAATAGCAAAGGTAGAGAGTGGGCAGAAGATGCCTAATGTTGCTGGGCAGTATGGCGTGAACAGGTCTACAGTAGACCGCAGTTCAATCTTATTTAAGAAAGATACAGTATAATCAAAAAGACTCAAGCAGCTAAAGGAATAACAAAAATCACATCTGAGAAATCAAGAACATTGAAGAGGTCATAATGGAACCTGAAACAGATCTGATGACAGAAGAACGCCAGGAACTCATGAATGAAGAACACCAAGGAACTCGGCAAGATATGTTCTCTTCTGAAAAAGAGGATTAATGCCAATATCTGTTATTAAAGATCCTTTGAAGAAGTGGGACGATGTCAGAACAACGGTCTTAAAATGACATCCAAACCAGGTTGAGGCTTGGGGATTTCTATAATTGCAATGCTATTAATTACGAAAAATCGTGAAGAAGAGAGAAAAGCAATCGACATTAGACAGATTCTTTAACCCTTTCAAACAGAAAAAACATGACTAATAACGCAAGACTACATATGTATGTATTTTTATTATTACATAGAAATAAACGTAGTAAGAAAGTATATATTTTTTATTTTTGGGGTCTCCAGAACGAATTAATTAAATTCCCATTAAAACCTGTGGTAAATTGATAATTGGTTAATGAACAATTCGGATAGTGAACAAGGTCTTGGAACGGATTATGTTCATTAACCAATCACACACTGTACTGAATATTTTTATTCACATATCTAATTAAATATAGAAGTTTCAGAACATCTTTAAATGTATGGGTAGTTCCCACTTTGTTAGATTGGAGCCATGCTAGGACTTTCTCCCATTGCTTGGACACTTTGATACACACAATGAACTGAAACACATCAAGTCTATAGCATCTGCACATGGGTACCACCAGTTCTTAATAAACAGGCTCGTTGCCAACCAAATATCTATGATAACTACCAGCAATACAAGGCTTAATGATGCAGAGTGCAAGCGGGTGGTTATAGCTTATGAACCGTCCCTCCAATAAATTTATAATAGAATTGCTAAGGATTTAAACTTGCGCTTAATTTATAGGAGAAAACAGAGCATTTTTCGAATCTTATCTAATGCAAAAGAAGGTCCGAGGACAAGAAAGTTCTCACTTTTCCAAGTTAATTGGTTTATAGAAGTTACTAGTAAAGTGGAAGCTTGTAAAGCATGAACCAATTTTAATTAAAATAAATACATAATGTTTATGAGATTTTAGATAGTAAATTGTTGAAAAACAACAACAAAATTATTTGATGACAAAAGTTTTATTATTTGATTGCTTATTGTTCTCTCAATTGGTTGTATGTTCCTTGGAACCAAGCATAACATTTTTATTAATATTATATTTGTATTATAATAAAAATATAACTGTTCTGTTTTTTAACATTAATTTCTTTCTTTGCAAAGAAAAACTAAAACAAATTTACTTCTTTAAATATTTTTTATCTGAATGCTCACTTTTTCTGTAGGCTGACAAAGTGTAGCAGTAGCACTGTCATTAAGAAAATTCTCAAGATAACACATTTTTAATTTCTTTTAAATATTTTTGTGTTTAAAAATAATACAAATAGAAGAACTTGGAGAATGTTTGTTGCAAAGATCTTTAATGGTGCACCCAGCTTTATAACTGCTTATATTTTTGTATTTTTTGTTTTTGATTTATGTAGTTCTTTGTTATTCATATCAAACTATCATTTCTTTTTTTAGACATGTCGAAAGAATACATGAAATACCTGAAAGCACAAAAGTAATAACAGAAAACTTATACATAACATAATATAGGCTACAAATGAACAACAATACGGTATCTACTTTTAATGGTGACTTGTTAAGAAAATGGTCATTTAATAACTCATGCCTTTGGCAGTGTTTCATTAATACCATCTCCCTCCAATGTAGTGGTGAGTCAGATCATGAAACTGGGAATTCATAAAGCGGGAACTACAGTATCTATATTTTTTAAAAGTTTTTTTAAATTAAATATTATTAATATCAAACATTTTTCTAGTGTTATGTTAGATCACATGTAATGTAAACACTTTCAAATTTTAAAGATATTAAGAAGTGTTAAAAGAATATCTTAAAAATAATGAAAAAATGTCATGAAATAAATATAGAATATAAGCATAGCTGAAATTCATGTTTTTGTTATTTTAGTGAAACATATAAAAAAAACTGATGGATTTTTTGGACTCTACAGAGGCCTTTCAGCTAAATTATGTTCTAATTTCATCGCAGGAGCAGTTTATACCACTGTGATAGAGGTAACTTTAGTTTTGCTAAAAAAACTTTTTAGTTTTTGAAGCATAAATTTTATTCTGGAATTAATTTTTTAATATATAAATGGCTTGCTGTATGGTATATTACAGATGTAAATCCGTCTCTGTAATCCAAAAAAACACACTTTGGTAGACTTATCTCACAGCAATTTCTGGTTAGCAAATTATTTTTTATTTTCCATTGAACTACAAATATATTTTGGGTTGGTATAATGTACTCCAACCCCTCCTCAGTGCTAGTTCAAATAAACAAGAAATATTAAAACATGACCATGTTATACCATAGAAACAAACTAAATCATAAAAAACACTTACATTTCCATATTATGTAAATTACAGAAAGTTGTTTTTTTTTTCAAAATAGGGATTGAAAGGGCAAACCTTCCTCATCCTTGACCTGTATTTAAACATAAAATTGTGCATTCCATATTAATATACATCTAAAATTAAAACAATTATAACTTCCAACAAACAAACTTCCATTACACTCACAATCATTTAAATTTTTTTACACATGGGTATATAATAGAAGTAGTAAAAAATTGTTAACATAGTAAAAATTGACATACGTATGTATAAGTTTTTTTGATACACAGACAATATTATTAAAAATATACTAGTATCAGAATTACTATGGAAGATTTTTTACAAATAATTATACCATGTTTTAACTTGTTTTAGCACAATCTATTAGTTCATTTCAGCAGTAATCAAATTGCTTACCATCTGAGTTATTTATTAAATTATTTTTTGTTTCCTTATTTCTAAATGCTCTTTAAATTTTCTTTTATAAATATCTTTTTCAAAATGCAAAATTTTTATATTATTTTGGTTAATTTCACAATTATTGTTATTTGTATGATCATACCACGGAGAATTATTGTACTTCAACCTGATGGCTGCTTCATATTCTTTTATTCTAACATCTAACATGTGCCCTGTTTACCTATGTACCTATGTTTTGACTATCACATTCCAATCTGTATACAACACCAGCTTTTTTTAGACAATCCATATTATTAATACTACTTTTATCAATACAGTCAACCCCCCTATAACACGGGTTCCTATAGTTCGGATTCCTATATCACGGCAAAAAAATTGCTACAGTATTCATACAAACATGCTAAAAAAACTTGTATAATTCGGTAGAACGTCATCGCCAACTCGTGCCACGACAGGATTGGTCGAATCTAGACCAATAGCAGATATTGTACAAACCATTGCGTTTAAATGAGCAACAGACCTACCATTTATTATTTAACATCCATAAAAATTATATTTATATTAATGATGTCTCCAAAGTTTAGTGAATTTTTCCCAAAAAAAAAAAAAATTTATCAGGAAGCATGCAAGCGCCATTCGATGACAAGCTTGCGTGCTTGTCATCGAATTTGTCAAGCATTTGACGAAAACAAGCTTAAGCAATGGTGTCGTTGAACGATGACATTTTACTGAATTATACGAGTTTTTTTAGTGTGTTTGTACAAATACTGTCGCAATTTTTTTGCCGTGATATAGGAATCCGAACTATAGGAACCCATGTTATAGGGGGGTTGACTGTATTGATAAAAGTAGTATTAATAATATGGATTGTCTAAAAAAAGCTGGTGTTGTATACAGATTGGAATGTGGTTGTCAAAATCCATATATGTACATAGGTGAAACAGGGCGCATGTTAGATGTTAGAATAAAAGAACATGAAGCAGCCATCAGGTTGAAGTACAATAATTCTTCGTGGTATGATCATACAAATAACAATAATTGTGAAATTAACCAAAATAATATAAAAATTTTGCATTTTGAAAAAGATATTTATAAAAGAAAATTTAAAGAGCATTTAGAAATAAGGAAACAAAAAATAATTTAATAAATAACTCAGATGGTATGCAAATTGATTACTGCTGAAATGAACTAATAGATTGTGCTAAAACAAGTTAAAACATGGTATAATTATTTGTAAAAAATCTTCCATAGTAATTCTGATACTAGTATATTTTTAATAATATTGTCTGTGTATCAAAAAAACTTATACATACGTATGTCAATTTTTACTATGTTAACAATTTTTTACTACTTCTATTATATACCCATGTGTAAAAAAATTTAAATGATTGTGAGTGTAATGGAAGTTTGTTTGTTGGAAGTTATGATTGTTTTAATTTTAGATGTATATTAATATGGAATGCACAATTTTATGTTTAAATACAGGTCAAGGATGAGGAAGGTTTGCCCTTTCAATCCCTATTTTGAAAAAAAAAAAACAACTTTCTGTAATTTACATAATATGGAAATGTAAGTGTTTTTTATGATTTAGTTTGTTTCTATGGTATAACATGGTCATGTTTTAATATTTCTTGTTTATTTGAACTAGCACTGAGGAGGGGTTGGAGTACATTATACCAACCCAAAATATGTTTGTAGTTCAATGGAAAATAAAAAATAATTTGCTAACCAGAAATTGCTGTGAGATAAGTCTACCAAAGTGTTTTTTTTTGGATTACAGAGATGGATTTACATTTGCAATAATTAATTTTTTATTAAACCTTTATTATTGGGTTATTCGGAAAGTAATTTCATTTTTTTTACCGCTAAACAGATTAGTCATATTTTTCCTGCCATTTTCATTCTAAACCATATTATCATTATATATTTTGACAGCTAGCATTTTAAGGCTTATTTGTAAAATATTTTGTTTGATTTTGGGCAATTGTTTATTTTTTGTGTCCCATCAAGTATGGAAGATCAAAAGCAGGATTTTCAGCATATTTTGCTCTTATATTACTGAAAAGGTAAGAATGCTGTTCAAGTGAGAAAAAAATTGTTAGACGTGTACGGAGAAGATGTATTGACAGAACCATAGTGCCAAAACTGGTTACAAAATTTCATTCTGGCAATTTCAATATTGAAGAAGCCCCACGTTCTGGATGGCCAATTGAAGCCAATGAAAACAAAATAAAAAGTACTGATTGAAGCAAACTGCCAAATAACAACACGTGAAATCTTTTTTTAATAAAATATAAAATTCATCTGGATACGAGTCCAAGTTTACTTGCCATGTCTAATCACCAGGAACAACTATTTCCATTGCAGAGACAACCTTTCTTTAGAGGCTATGCCTCTGCACGAATATGTAAAACAGTTTAAAATGTCCACAGGTGACAATCCCAACACAATTAAAAATATAATATTTGTTTGTAGAAATGGGCTGGCAG